TGCATCATTAAGCAGGTGGACTGAGAACACCAGGCAGAGATGTCGTGGTGGAGTGTCACACGGAGCAGAGGAGACATCTGGCACACAATACAGCACATACACCCACTCGTTAGGAAGAGCAGGGACCGGTTTAAGCACAGGTCATCAGGCTAATTATTATAAATGGATCATCTCAAACGTATTACACTGCTGTGGCTATTAAAGACCACTGTGTTTTTTTTTAAATATAATAAGAATATTTTATGCAGTGAGTCATATTTTGTTATTCAGTGCCTTCAGTTGAAGTCTTGTAGAGCTGCGACTATTCGACAGAATCGACACAATGATGCTCACTATCTTTTGATAACCAATTAATAATTTCAATTGTTAATGCAAAAATAGCAGTTAGCGGATCTCAAATATTAGTATGTCCTGTTTCTGTTTGTTTAGCCTTTGGGATTTTGACTTGAAATGTTAAGAAATGTTGGTTTTTCAGAAACTGTGAGGGACATTTTTCAAAGGTTTCTGAAATGTTATAGGCCCATTTATTGATCAATTTAGAAAATATTCTGCGAAAATCCACCTTAGAAAATGGATCAATATGGCATATGTTATAAACCACTTAAAAATCTCTGAGTGAGCACCCTTTATACACAACGATCCACCAATATATATTTTTTAAATATTATTTAGATGTCATTATAATTGCCCCAGGAAAATTATACAGTAGCACCACCAATGGTAAATGCAGTCAGATGTACTAGTACTCTTCTATAAAAGCACCTATATGCTACATGTAATGACTAATTACATCTCGAACGCAGATCAACTAATTAGCACTGGACATACATCATCGCCTATAAATAGAATGCAAAGTACACAAATGGAGCATTTCAGCTGCATTTCTCATTATATTTACGGCATTGTGAATGTATTGCTCTTTTAACATGATGGATGGAAGGATGGGAGTAGATTTTTAATCAAGGAGGTCGGGTGTTTGCCACATCATTAAACCATTTGGCGTGCAATCTCCTTCTCATCTAAAATGAGCGATGTCGCCCTTCTGTCGCTTTGTTTGGTTGAAGGAACGACAAAGCGGCCTCCCTTTGTGTTTTCATTGCTCTAAAACACAATAAGCGTACCTGTTACATCTTCTGGCGTTCTTCGCTGTGACTCGAATCAAAGCCAAAGCTCTCGCTGTGTCATTGATTTGAACAGTATTTATTCATGCGTCATCTATTTATTCATGCGTCATCTCCTCTATCACAACTCTCGACTCAACCCTTACAAATGAATTAGCTGAAAGTACCAGTAAGTGAGATTAAACTGCACTTGAACCCAGTTTAATTCAACACCTCTTGAGATCATGAACTCAAACCCTGTTTACACCTGGCATCAACACGCTGTTGTGATCTGATCACAGGTGGACCGCTCTTAGTACGTCAGATCACACCTGGCATTAGGATGCGTCCTCACATCAGTGCCAGTGATCACTAGTGATCAGAAACACGTCATTTTGGTTTGCAAGACCAAACTGTCTTTTTTAACTGTCGAGGCAATAGTGCACTTCCCGTCCCTGGTCTGCCGGAGATCAAAGTGGAAGAAAAATGTGGCTTTTTTTCTTTTCTTATTGTAATCAGTGATACAGTATGAATGACTATGGCTTTTATTTTGAAAGGTATAGGAAGGAGGATGTGAGGCTATGATGGGCTGTTGCTGCTGTTTGCAGTTTGAATTAAGAGCTGTTCCCTGCCCGAGACGCATGTTTATGCCAGGTGTAATCAGGGTCTCAGTGTACTAAAGTACTTTATTACCTTATTTCAAAAACAATCCCTCAAATAACATTTTATAATCTTATCATATCATCAATAAAGGTAGTAATTCAGAAAATGTACTTGTTTTTGTTTTTTGTTTTGGAATTTCACCTGTATTTTGATGTTTTGAATATGTTTTTCTGCGTAAACCTGATGCAAGGCTGTGCATAAAAAAATAGCATGTTTACTGTATGTTTAACATGGTGGTAAAAAAACCTGCTTTTCATGGATGGTATTTATGTATTTTATTCCTACTCCCATTACATCAACTGTTACCATGCATCTGGATATACACTCGTCTAGCAAATAATTCATGTAAACTTGGGTTATAGAGTGCTACAGTGACGCGTCCTAAAACCCGGAAGTAAGTTAGCATTTTACCACTTCCGGTTCCTTCGACAAAAACCAATGCAATTTCTCCATAGGATTTTGGAAAATAGCTTGAAATAAGGTCTGTGGTTGACATAAATTGAAGAGACGGATCACGTTTTGTTCAGTCAGATAATATCCACATGTCTACCCTACTTTTATAATTTTCGAATCATAAATCTAATCGATAGATTTATGATCGATAGATTTATGATTTTGAAAATTATAAAAGAACCGGAAGGAGTTTTCTTCCGGGTTTTAGGACGCGTCACTGTGGCACTCTATTAGTTCAATCGTATATCATTTTAAAACAATGCACATTGTAGAGCATTACCTCACTCTTGGTATCCACAGTAAGAGTTACTTGTGTGCATGCATGCCTACTGATTCTAGGCTCTGGCTTCACCCTGAATAAAGACAGACATGGCATGCGAGTGGATGCATTGGGTGACTCCATGAAACACACACTGCAGGCACACGCTGGCTCAGCTTCCCTTCGTTAAAGTGGCTGTCGGAGGAGATACAGTAATCCTGTTTTAATGGCCGTGCCCCTTCCCCCACCATGATGTGATGGCCCCAGACAAACCGCCGCGCCTCTTAAGGGAGAAGTGTCAAAACCAAGGCACCACTGGGTCCTTTGCAACACATTTGACAGCAGTCACGAGCTAAGAGGAGAAAACCACTCCTTTCCTCCCGTGCAATGACTTCTGAATCAGTCAGGTGTGTTTCTACAGGCACGCGTGCCTATATATAGATGAACTCCACAGGAACCGGCTGCACATTCATAAAATAAACCAGTGTTTGTCTTCTCACTGTAAAGTAATGCCAATCTGGAAGGATTATACCTTGTGCTTGATGTTATCCATGTGGATTACAGAACAAGAACTAAATGTGCCTATATCGTGCGACTAACATGAGCCTGTAATAATTAGACAATCTACTATGGATGTTTTGGGATTTTTTTTAAATGTTTATCAATAAGGATACTAATATTAATGCCTCAAGAGAAGACATTTTTTTCTATAATTCAACCCATTGTTCATCATAATACAGGACAGCAGTGACTGTGGTGATGTTGAAAGCAAAATTATGTTAGAGACATTGATATCAACCTCTTGTTCCCCGATTTCCACCAACGGCATTACAAAATGTACAAAACAATTGATTAATTTATCTGACTGTTATGTCTCAATCAAAGGATTAGTGGTTCAGTCTTTAAATGTTAGAAAATATTGAAAATTATCTTTAAACATCTTGTTTTCGCAAACCAACATTACAAAACCTCAGATAAATGTCGTTTTCTACAACAAGGGCAGCAAATCCTAACAGTGAAAACGCTAGAACCGGAGATTTATTTGGCTTGAATTGCAAAGCAAGCATTTGACAATTACATTTATATTGAAACATATTGTGATTGCTATTTTTAAGTATTTGAAAGAATGTTATGCCTTATAGGTGACAAGATATAAGGAGAAAGACACAAGGAGTGTCATGCAACAAAAGCTCTGGTTCATGGTAGGCACCTTAAACCCAACCAGGATGCTCAGAAAGAGTAATTTTATCAATTTACAGACCAAATTATTTGTTGATTAGCTTAAAGGAAATAATTGATTAATTAACAATGAAAAAAGTCCTTGGTACAATAGAGAAAGAGATGTAAACAGATGTTTACTAGAGCTAAAAAGTGAAATAAGGTTGGCAGTCTATACAGTGGATATCATGTTAGTTTGGTGGATGTAGCTGAGTGAAAAATGAATAGATTGGAAAAGACTATTATATGAAATAAACCCTAAAACTTGAAACAAACAGGCACATGAGCAGCAAATGCTGGTAAACCACGCACAACTCGTACACATGCTGATCTAAATACAGGCGGCATGAACTACTGAATAAATTATGAGAGTGCAGAAACCAGCTGACATATTTTTTACTACATCAGCCTACAAAAATAGATCTGAGACCAAATACCATGTGGGAAATTTCACATCACAAGATTTACATTGTCAAATGAACAATCGCTTAAAGGCTCGCGGATGAAAACACGGGCAGGTGCTACTGAAGTCTTTTCAAAGCGGACAGCATTGTTTCATAGTGTTGTTGTCAATACACCTGCTCTAGATTGCCCCGCTTTATGTGAAACTCAGCCTCACCAGCGGATCAAAACAAACAAGAGTCCACTAAGCGAAACACAGATGAATAACACACAGATGCACAGAGAGCTACAGCCTCTCCTCCCTGTGTGTGTGTGTGTGTGTGTGTGTGTGTGTGTGTGTGTGTGTGTGTGTGTGTGTGTGTATCACCGGCGTAACAGTTGTTGAAGGCAAAGAGACATAGAGGCAGCAGACTTCCGCCAACAGCTGCTCAGCTTCAACTCCACACGAGACTACTGTAAATCCTGCACAACCCTTTGAACATGTTGCACATTTCTGCTCCACACTATGTCTTTTTAAATCTGCAAAGCTCTCCACTCTAAATACAGTATTTTTCATATTATATTTAACTGTACTCATATTTATATTTTGTGAAAATATTGTCTTTAGTTCTGTTACAATAGTCTTTAAAAAAGTTGTTTATAATAGACCTTTTTTTTCGGTGTCATTGAATGCACCATGTGAACCAAATCAAAATCCTGGTAGGTGTAAACCTACTTGGTAATAAAATCATTCTGTTTCTGAAACACAGGGCAGGGAGAAGGGGGATTGGTTCATGACAACAAAGCTAAAGAGGTTAATTTTAAAGCTATTTCTCTTCACATTAAAACACTACCTTAGCCACGCTTTTCACGCACGCACCAACACACGCTCCCATCCACACGCGCTCCTCCTCCTCTGTACTCACCACAGCATTCTCTTCACCGGGAGGCAGTCTTTGTTGGAGGCTGTCACTCCCATGGCCATCTGCATCACCGTGATATATTTCTGGTACTTCATGTTGTCCTCCTTTACTACTACTACTACTACTACCACTACAACCACTACTGCTACTGCTGCTACTTCCACTTCTATTTCTACTTCTAGGAATCCGCGCGCCACACAAGCGACACAGGTGAGCGTGCATTCAAGTGTCTGTTATTGTCCCCTGGCACCCTCGGCATCTTCAGTATCAAAAACGCCATTTCCACGTCTGGAGGACTGTTGACAGGGGAAATGTTCCCCGAGGAGCTCAACGAAAGGTACCACGCCGCCGCGACCCATGTCTCTAATCTCATTAGAGCTCAGAATAGATTGGCTAATCCATTCAATTTTAGTCAGGACCGGGTCATTGTTGTGGTTCGCCCTGTGGCGGCCACTTGTTCTGTCAGTGTTTCCTCCACTCTCCGCGGAGTAAAGGAGTCAAGAGGAAGAGACCAACAGTGAGAGATAGGATGCAGCGGCGGTGGCACCCAAACGTCTGTGAGGGAGGAAAGACTGTTCAACGAGAGAGAGGGGGAGAGAGAGAGAGAGCAGGGGAGCGAGAGAGGAGGAGGAGGAAGAGGAGGAGGAGGAAAGAGACACCAGCGATGTCATGGCTTAAGAGGGGAAACCTATTCTGCTGAGTAATTCTTAATATTGTAAAATGTGAAGCAGGTGCATCGTTGTGGATGTTATTTTTCTCATTAGATTCAAGATTCAAAGATGGTATTGTCATATGCACAGTGAGAATTTGTAAACGGTACCAGCTACCTCTTTAGTTTTATATGGTTACTTTACTTTTTTTACCATTTTCTTCTTTTTTCTTACATATTGTGTTTCTTATTATTAATAATGCATATATTTTTTTATATATAAGTCTACTGTCTTTAGTGTATCTTCACTATATTTCTGCTGCTGTAATAATGTAAATGTACTCATTGCAGGACTAATAAAGGAATTCTGATTCTGATAATGAGCTACAGTGTATGGTAATGCAAATCTTAAGTCCCAGGCTCCTTCAGCAATTCAACATAAATATATAAATAAGACGTAAACAATAAAAAAGAGTGAAAGAAACAGAACAGAAATAACATATCGCAAGAGAATGTTGCAAGTGACAAATGTGCCGATAAAGTAAACTATACGTACATGAAAAATAGAAAAAGATTTGCTAATTTCAGAATGTAAAATTAAATACTGTACAGGAATAAAATACTGCTTATTGTAGTATTACATGTTAAAAGACAACAGATCAATGCTTAAAAGTTATGAAAAAACGCAAACGGACCGCAATCGTTATCAAAAAAGTATTCCGTCCACACGCAACAGGCACCAGAAACGTGTCCGTTCACACGAGACCGCTCGAAAGCGCTGGAGACGCTGTAGCCTACATATGCCAGGCCTGTAAGTGGCGCTGTACTCCTGCCACAAAAGCAGCGAAGAAGACTTCCCGCGCATGGTTGCCATGGTTGCCATGGTTGCCATGGTTGCCATGGCTCTTTTTCTCCCTCCCCGAGGCAAGCGTTTGGTCCTGCTGTAAATCTCTCCGGTAGTCCACCAGCAGATGAAAAACACCCACCTCTCCGCCTCTTCCAAGGGACGAGGGGACCGTGCGGCAGAGTTTCAGTTAGATTTTTTTTCGCCGGTCAACATGTCCGTTAAAGTTTAAATCTTCCGGACAAAATTAGAAAAGTGCCGGTCAAAGGTCTTCTTTGTTATCTATTGAGCTTCAAAACAAATTGATAACGACTCTATATAATAATAAAAAACAGAGCCTCTCTTTTCCTCCCCCTCTTCTGACAGCCCAGCAGCTGATCTCTGAGCAGGAGAGGCGGGGCTATTGCGTCATCGTTATCAGGACATGATCGTATAGGCGTAAACACGGAGCCGTTTGCCCCCCCAGAGCGTTTCGTTTGCAGATCTACCCACCTTGGGACCCGTTATCGTTATCGTTTCGTTTTCTGCGTTTCCATGTCGGCCTCGTGTGGCCGAACCGTCTATCTGATAGTGAACTGCAGATACGACCGTTATCGTCCTCGTGTGGCCGGGGCTTTAAAGAGGGACTGAAACAACAACAATTCAATACCAATTAATTAAGGTTATAGACAGACTTAACGACTAGACTATGACTATAAGTGGAAACCCTGAGGTGGGACGAACAGCAACAAAACATTTTAAAGAAGCAGGACAAGTCTTCATTCATCCTAAAATGTGTATTCTTTCTTCTTCTTTCCCCAGAACCGTTCACAAAAACCAGGGGAAGTTATGTATATTTTATGTATCTACAAGGTAAGAATAAATAACATATTTGTATGATGCATTAAAGCTATAGGTTGATACATTGGCCGTTATATAGTTTGTCCACCAAAGAGCACACAAAAAACACACACTCTTTACGAATTTTGGTCATTGCTGTTATTTTAAAACATAATTATAATTTGTAATGACCTCTGAAATATTCATATTGGTATCAGCCTCAACTGTCTAACACTGGTTGCCTATGTATGTTAAACATCTAGGCTAAAAAATTTCCATTGAGATATAATGATCTATATTAGTATTTTATCTTGCATAGTAACAGAGTTGTTTCCATCTCTTTCAACTACTGACCTTGATGCTTAAATCTCTTTAAGTAGCGACACAGACCTGACTGCAGGTCTGACTGAGCGAGGAGACGAGTCAACATGATCTCATTGGCGGCTCAGTGAAATTGAGCCAAGCAAAGCTCATTAGGACACTTCCAAAAAACTAAAGTATAGTAAGGCAAGGCAAGTTTATTTATATAGCACCTTTCAACACAAGGCAATAGTAAAAACACTCCTTTTCATTGCATGTAGTGGATTGTGCTTGTTTATGCACATTTTAAATACCAAAACTGTCAGCTAACTTTTAATCAAGAATAATATGATCTAAACATGAACAATATTAAATGGATTTTAAGTTGATTGACATGATAAACTTGTGTTACTGTCTGTTTTTATTCTTCTGTTTTCAGGTCTCTGTGTGTTATTATTGTTCATGTATGCAAGCTCTTACAGAGACCAATGTGAGGATTGTATTACTTTTACTTGCCTTTCTTTAAGGGGCTGATAGTTTACAGAGTCTCGGCAGATGCTAATCAATTCAGTGATTGATTTAGTGTCAGATTTAAATTCCCAGTAAACATTAGTCTTTAGTGAGACCTCAAGGACGAAGGGGACATGCAAGAGCTTGATGTGCACAAGATCTAAGTCAAAGTGACCCCTGTGTACTGGCATGTTTATGTCTGCATGGCCGCTGAGGAAAAAAAGCGTTTTATTTAGGACTGTAACAGCGATTAGAAGATGATGTAACCATAAAGACTCTTCACAGGCTCCCTCTGTATAAACCCCCTTGGGCTGAACCATTAACATTTAAACAAGTTGGCAGTGGAGCTGGAGAGTATTTGACAATGAAACTGCACTGTGAGGTGAGATAGCACATCATTGTCACTGTATTTACATATTTGTTCGGCCTAATAAACAGAATGAAGGAAGGGAGGACTGCAGTGTATAAACCATTGTCCTCTTGAGATGGCCCATGCACCGGAAAAAAGTAAATCAAAATATAAAGTCTATGAGGAATTAAAAACACCAAAATAAAATTGACAAGAAGAAAAAGTGAGACAGCAAGTGAAAAGGCAGGTAACTCTTTTTGGATGGAAAAGGTGTTGAGCAGCTGTTGGGGAAGGTCAGTATGAAACTGCTGTTATCAGCACTGCTTGATATTGGCAGCAATGAAATTTACCAAAAATAAATTCAACACAGCCCAACTTGCAGTTCCTCCAACTCCTGTGATGTTTACTTACTGTTCTTGGAGTTGGAAAGAGGATTAAGTAAACACACACACACACACACACACACACACACTCACACACACACACACACGCACACACACACACACACACACACATGCACAAGCGCACACACACACACACACACACACAGGCACACCAGTGGCCTGAAGGAGACGGAGGATGGTGAGGTCACCACAGCAGCTTTATGGTCTGAAGCCAGAAGGACAGTAGAGAATGACGCAGCTCTCAGCAGGCTGTCACTGTTCTCTTTGATCTCTGGGAATAAATCAAGTTTCACAATACCTGGTGACACTGGTGTGTAAATACTCAACATACATTCTCTGTGTCTCGACAATAACATGCCATCACTGTTAAAGGGCTCAGTATTTAGCACTACTTCGGCGCTAACCTAGCTTCATGGCTATAGGCGAATATATTTTTTATGCCAGGGATGCTCTTATCCATCATACATAGTTATCGGTCGATGTTAGGCCTTGTTGACAGCCATCAACTTATTGGCAAAAAAGAAAACAGTGGCTGATGTTTTTCTGTTGTGTGAGTTTTTGGCCGACTAAATGTTCTGTTATTTGCTGTTATTGGAGCCGTGCGTATGTATGGTTTTTTGACCAACAAAAGTGAAATAAAAATAAATTACACTGCCACTGTTTGGACCAAGGAAAAGGGGGAATAAAAAAAACGATGGGCCAAATTATTTTACACACCAGTATGTGCATACTGTAGGTCATGAATTTCATAACCGTTGAACTCCTACTTGAACCTTTACACATCTGCTATATAAAACTACACTAGGAGTCTACTTCATCATCTTTGCAGTCTCAGATATTATTGGCTAACATGCCCAAAAACCCAGCTGTCAGAGCTGTGATATTATGGAGAGATGGAGAAGAATACTGGATTGCTTTAAGAGTGAGATTTCCCTCAGGAGCAGCAACCATCCAAATGTGTTGATCCCCCCCTCACCATAAATTACACTATCCCCTGGCCCCTGGCCACGATTAATCACATGACCACAGCAGCCAGATTAAATCTGTAGCCTTGGACTGCTCCCTGTCTCACTCTCTCTCTGTGCCTCCCTGTCATGTACGAGGCATACAAATAATCAACAAGCACATAGAATGGGTAAACATCCGTTTAGCATACAGTTACACAGATCACTATGAGTGTGTCATTAGTCACTGTTTGTATGGTCATCCACCTGATATCTGTTATACAGTTATCATAACAAGCACTGAGCTATTGCTCTCCATCTCAGTGAAACGTGGACGATGTGCATCCTGTAACTCAACACTTCACTGCAGAGCTTTCATTTCTCAATGCCAGACCTGCATCGCCACGGTAACACTGGCTCTGGG